CAAACACATTTTAAAAATCCAGTCTTATATTTGGCTAATACACATATTTGATTAAATCCTAAAAAAACACACACTCCTTGAAGTGAACCTCATGTTGATGCAACAGCTATTACCACTTCTAGAGTGCAGATAACATGTTCAGTCAAACACAAACAAGAAGAAGATTCAAAGGATAGATGGGATTTTTGCTATTTGCCTCCGGACCTTTGACTTTATGTGGCTCTGACTTATGTGGCTCTGAGGGGCAACCTCATCTGAGATACAGTCACCATGGCAACTACAAATATATGAGTCAACAACCAGTGATAAAGGTTGTGGTTGACTCTGCTGAGTGCCGTAGAAAAACACCCCCAAAACACAGTTTGCATTTACAGTAAAACAAGTAATGTAGTGGAATAATGCAGCTCATTGATTATACTCTTTATAACAGTGTAAACATTTCCAAGGGTGGACTTTTCCTCAGAGGCCGTTTGGCTTTCATCCCCATGCATGCAATATAGAAAATATGAAGAAATATTTGCAAAGAAATCAAAATATAGAATAAAATATATATTAGTTTGTTATTTGTACGCTGCTGCTGATGCCAAATGACTTAATACTCAGAGACACTGCACAAAATTATGAAAGCAGTCATATATACACACACACACACACACACACACACACAGTAAGCAGACAAAAACACACAATGCACTCAGTGTGAATGCTCTTTCTATGCTGCTGCCTGTGGTTGGTTGTAGTAGCATGTCTTTGTTGTAGATAGAAGCAGCATTATTTTTCTGTTTTTGTGTTTGAAATTTCTAGATACAGTAGATCTCTTTGATAGAGTGCAGAGTAAATGTCTTGGATAAGGTTTTCTAATACTATCAGATTTTTGGGACTGTTGTTGAGTAAAGAATGTTTAATATTAAAGCTATAAACTATGGTTTTACAAAAGCTATTGACTAACATGATCATTCTACGTGTTCTATCAGAAGAAGAGGGTGGATCAATAAAGTCTGGTCATTTGGATGAAGGTATTTTTGTGATTTATTTTGATTTGTGGACGTAGAGAAGGAGAGGGGCTGATAGGATTTGGGGAGGGATGATGAGCACCTGCTGCAACTTCTCGGTCAGCAAGAGATCCTCAAGTTTTAGACACTCAGCTCCTGCTGCCCCTTCTTGTGCACTTTACACACCAACAACTGCACAGCCCCTCACCCATTAACACATGCTATAAATACTCAGATGATACTGCTATTCTCGTAGTGCTGAAAGACAATAAATCAGTCTTGGTAATACGGTGCTTCATTTCTGCTTTTCAACATGGCACAGTAGTAACTTGCTCCAGCTGGATGTCTGCAAAACAAAACGCATGGTCACAGGTTCTTCCCCACCCACTATACCACAGCCTGCACGCCCATCACCACCAACACAGACAGGTGACATAGTGAAAAGCTACAGATAGCTTGGACTCACATTTGAACAGCATACCACAGACATGTCTAATCTAGCTGGCCCCCCACTTTTGCTTCTCTGCAAAAGTACTATCCAAGCTATTCTCCTGCTTCTTAAACATGTCAACTATGTCCCAACTAAAAGTAACCAAGGTCACACACTCCACCACCAAGAACACTATCCTACCCAAACCCAACCTGTGTGACCTCAACAAGAAGGTCATCACACAAGCACCATATGAAATTGCACAGGACCTAGATATTTATGCACGCTATGATCCTCCCTCATGTTTGTATTTCACATTGGGGTCAGGCTCAAGAAACAATCATAAAACCCCTGGGGTCCTTATAAAGCCAGTATCATCACTGTATGATACTAGAGAAACATCATGCTTTGAGTTTTAAAATTTTTAGATCATATTCAAATTTATGTATTGTGTGCAAAACTTGAAATGGCTCCTCCTCCCATGCGTCATTTGCTTTCGCTCAGAGGTCTGTGACCACAAGTCAGTGGAACAGCCCTACCAGACAGCATGAAGACTTTTAGTTCCACAAGTAGCTTCCCTCTCAAACTGTGTGACCACTGATTTTGCATTTTGCTGGTTTAGTTTGTATGCAACAGTCCTGGCTTCTTCTCTGGTTCAGTGTACACATTGCATTTTGTTTTGTTTGTCCAGTAATGTTTTGTCTTTGTGCAAATATTTGAATTGTGACCTGCCAAAGGACTTGCAGATGTAAATTAGCTTTCAACTAATTCTTGCACAGTACATCAAATGAGAACATATTTATTATTGTACATAATCACTTTTAAATAAAATGATTACATAAAAAGGACAATACTTTTGATGAGGTGTCATAAACAATAATTAATAAGTACATCTGGAACAATTCCTGGATTACTCAATTAGTCAATTAGAAGGAAATTAATCCCTAATTACTTTGATAGTCATTAATTGTAATCATAAATGTGTCCACCAGATTTCCTCATTTTGTTTTATGTAATAAAACTGCTTACAAAAGGAACCAGATACGTTGATGGTAGGTAAAATCTTGGGAAGACATTAAAGTAAGATGTGACTGTGTTCAGATTAAGATAAATTAATTAAACCAGCCAGAACATTACATAAAATATTTAAAGTTTCTTTTACAGGTTTTGACATAATAGAGATTTTACTTTTTCACTTTTTCATACACAGCTGAAGATGATTACTACAGGAAATAACCTTGAACAACTTTGGAATGCAATGTTACCTGCAAAGATAATAAATATGTTACACAAATAAGTGCACAGTATGAATTCAGGATTAATTGGAAATGAATACAAAAGCTGCTGGAGTTCACTATTCATCAACTTTTGTAATACTAATATGCACAATTCGTGCATATGATTTACTGCTAATACTTCTTCTTTTCTTCTTCAGTGCAGAAAACAAGATAGAAAACAGGTCACTCAATAAATTTGAATTGCTTCTATTTCCACATCTAGCTTATATTAAACTTAAGATATTCTTCAGGAATGTCTCATGCATGGAACTTTTATCTACAAAATACTCAGCTTAGCTTTTCATTTTTATTTCAAAGATGTCCTCCCCCACCTTCATCGCCTTATCTCCTGTTTTGACTTGTTCTTTCTGTCTTAAGTGTGGTAGCTTCCTCAGCAGCCTGGCTCACCCTTCTTCCCACTGAATCTCATTAGCTCTCTACTTGTTAACTAAATCCCCTTCTCTGTCCAAAAATCTTGATTACTTTAACATAAATACTGGAAATAGGTGGAATATGCTAGCCTGGCTCTGTCCATGTAACAAAGTCTGCTTACAAGCACCTAAAGCTCAACAAATATTATATATAAGCCAATGAAATGTAAATGACAAGTTGTAGTTTTATGGGACACAATGTGCCTTATAAAAAAACAAGCTGAGCATCTCCTGGTATCGGCTGTATATAACACAAGAGCTTTATTCTGAGAGATACTATTTTCTTCTCTAGTTTTTTATTAGCTGAAACACAAGTTTTAATTTGCTTTGAATCGACTTTAAAAAAAAGTGTCCAATTTATGATATTAACACATCATCATATAGCATATGCTTTCAGCATTTTGATTCTCCTCTGCACTGAGCTGTGAGTTCAATAGCTTCGTTATATACGCATCACATGCTGAACATTTTCTCACACAGTGTGCAGTTTAGTCTGGCAGGGGCAGCAGTGTGCATTCAGTTCCAGTGAGAGGTCTGGGAAGCTGACAGATCTCTCTCCAGTGGTCTTTCTTTGTATCATACTCCAACACATTCTTAATGATCACTTCCTGTCCGTTGCTCCATCTTCTCCCTCCGAACACCAGTAAGTTTCCAGAAGGCATTGACACCATCCCATAGTTGGAGGAGCCTGTGAGAAGCGGTTTGAGGCGTGTCCAGTGGTCTGACTCTGAGTCGTATCTTTCAATGTCGCAGAAAGGCTCATACATCCCTAACAGGGCATAGATGTAGCTGTGGACAGCTGCTAAGCAGTGGCCAAATCTGGCAATGGACATAGATGCCCTCTTTTCCCAAATTCTACCTTTGAGGTCCCAGCGCAGGACTTCCCTGCTGCTCCCCCTGTTTTCAACATGGTTGTTACCATGGTTACTGCCAGGGAGGATGCCCTGGTTGCCCGGGATGCCACCTGACACATAGATGCTGTTGTCAAGGACAGCAGAAGCATGGCCATAAAGAGGGCACGGCATTGCTGCTCTTCTCCTCCACGCTCCTGTGGCCATGTCATAAAACTCAACAGAAGCCATGGAGGTCTGTGTGTTGGTGCCTGGTCGTGTGTGGCATCCCCCGATGGCATAAATAACATCCTCCACCACACAGCAGGAGAACTGTGCTCGCCTCCCCAGCATGGACTCCATCTGCTGCCAGCAGTCAAAGCGAGGATCATACCGCCACACCTGATTGGTTGTTTCCACAGTGACAGACTTTTTCCCATCCTCATCTCTTTCTTTCACTTCTTCACCTCCGATCACAAAGAGGAAACCCCCCACCGAGCACACACAGTGATTTCTCAGGCGCAGCGGCAGACAGGAACTCAACGATGAAAATTTCCTGCTTCTAGGATCAAAGGCCAACACCTGCTGTTCTGGCCAATGACTGCTGGACCCTCCCCCCACGAGCAGCACGCAATTGGGTGAACCTCTAAGTGTTGACTGCCTGCTCTGTTTGATTGGCTGAGCTGAACCCATCCTGTGGTACTCCAAAGCTCGAGTCAGCTGGCTTCTTATTAAAGGTGTGGCCATGGCTCTGTGGCTGAGATTGGTGAGATCAGAGGCAGTGACTAACCCGAAGCGCAGATGACTCAGCAGAAGATTTGATTTTAGCAGTGGGAGGGGCCCATTCTCATTCAGCCAATCTAGAGCCAGTTTTACAAGCTCCACTTCTTTGACGCCTGGTATCTTGTTTTTGTCAAGCACTGCCATTAGTGATTGGAAATTCAGCTCAAGAAGATCATCCCTGCCTTCCTTTAGTAGTGTCCTCATCTCCATAGCAATGGTTTGATGGGCAGCATCAAGTGTATCTGAGAGTGCATGGCGTTGGGCCAGGTTAGCATAGCCGCAGCAGTTGTCAGCACTTAACCCATCGGTCATGAAGCGCTCACATATTGACACCGCTGTCTCCACCTGCAGATACCTAGCTGCTGCCAGGATGTCACCAAGTGTGGAGAGGGATATGCTGAGCCAGCCTGAATACAAGAAGTCCAAAATTGCATCTAAGCCCTCAGGTGTTAGTGCTGGGAGGCTGATGGAGCCTGCTAATCTCTCTGCAGTAGTCTCTCCAAACAGTGCCCAAAAATACTCACTGGAGCTGGCCAAAAGGGCACGATGACATGGGAAAGATACACCACCAGCTTCTAGAACAACATCACACATCTTTTTCTCAGAGCGCAACCGCTGGAAGCCAGAGAGAAGCCCGGTTCTGTGTGAGGAACTGTAGAGGAGGGAGTAGCTATCCATCCAAAAGACAGAAGGCACAGAGACAGGAGAAAGGAAAGGAGGAGAGAGAACTGAAGTTAGAAAGGAGGAAAAAGAAGTCGAGAAACAGGTTAATGAAAGAGCTCAGTCAAGAAGGTGCAAGGAAGAAGCCATGAGAGGCAAATGTCAAGTGTAAGAGGATAAGTGATCACAGAAACAGTCAAGTGTTAGTAGAAGAGCAGGATGATGAAATAATTGGATAAGGATAATAAAGTAAGAGGCAGGAAATGAGAGAAAAGTAAAAAGAACATTGAGTGCAAAAAAGCATAAAGAGGGTGTCCTTAGTTGAGCTCTCTCCATCTGTGTTGTTGTCCTGCTCTGTCTGTTGTGACAGGCATGTCACACTAGGGTGGATAACAACTGCCAGCCCCATGAAACGCCCCCTTTTGACTCCTAATGTGGCCCATCCCAAAGCCTCCTGTCTGCATATCCTGGCTCCGTTGGCTTTGTGTTTATCTGGTACCCTTTTCTCTGTGTCCAGGAGGGAGTGTTACCAAAATACATCACCTCAGCAAGCAAGCAGATGCATGGATAAACACACAGACATGAAGAGAAAAGGGAGCCTGGCAGAGTTTTAGTGTCTGCCCCGGCCAATGAACTTGGTAAATACAGCTGCTACAGTCTTCGACCAAGATTCTCAGGCATGGTTGCCACGGCAGCTATCTGTGCCTTCATCGCTGTGTGATAGGAATAGAAACACAGACAGAGCTTGGCTCAGTCTGAGATTCAGTGCAAGGTACATATTAAACCCAGGAAAGTTTTGCCAAGCTGTCAAAGATTTTACAAGTATGAGAAGTAGCTCGTAGCGTTTGATATTAGAGTGTGCTGTGCCCTTTTGAGAGGCATTTGACCTCATTATTAACTGTTTCTAGATGGATGTCATCTTTCATTTTTATGCAAAGAAAAGGGGACACTGGTAGATTTGTTTGCTGTATCAGGCTACAAGTTGTCTAGTGTGTTTACAGTCCAATGATTAATGTTAAGCTACTGTGTGATTTGTTACAATCTGATACACAAACACATTAATATGCAAAAATTGCTTTATCACACACTTAACATTCCTGCAACTTTCTCTGCAAGGTATGTTTTTTAGTTGGTTGTGATCATTGTCTCTGGCTCACACTCAGAGATGATGTGTGTGTGCATGTGTTTGTTCTACACTAGTTGGTGTTACACTAGTTCAAAATTCAGCACATAAGAGAAAAACAGACTCACGCCATTTGTGAAGCTGCAGGGTTTTTTATTGTTTCCCACACAATGTCAAATTCTCCCATATGGTTGTTAAAACACCATCTCTGCCCTCAGCTGAATACTCCACTGCAACCTGATGGAGGCTAAACGTAGCTTCAGCTGCTCTGATATATGTTTGTCTGTGTGCAGGAGGACTGGTGATGGGGTGATATGGGGGGGGAATGTAAGGGTTATCAGTGCTAGTTGGTGCTGTGAGTAATGTGGCTCTGTTAGTGCAGCGCTCCTCTCTGAAACAGGTGTATGTGGAGGTTTAGGTCAGGATCAAAATGACTCTGCACAAAAACAACCCTGACTCCTACCTAAAATCCAGTAACACCAATTACACATGTACTATACAATAAAAGAATCTTACAGCTGGATATTAGGATTCATTGTTTTGCTCTGTAGGTGCTGTTAGTAATGTGAAAACTCTCCAAGTTAAAATTTTCATTACACTAAACAAAGGTTTTTTTAGATTATTTAATGTTGCCTAAATACAGTGTTTCTTCTTACTGTCAATGTCCTGACATCCACAGCGAAAAAGAAAGTTTCCATCAAGAAATAATCTGTTTTAAACTTGTCACCTTAAAAATCTCACTGTCACATCCTGTTGTCTTGTGGGACCTCTTTGTTAGCTCATACAACTGTCAGCTTCACTCATGATATTTTCTTTTACAGTGACACGGAAACCACCCTGAGAGTCTGCAGCCATTTTATTGAACTGGCTGTGAGTGTTAGGGCCACTGCCTCTCCTCCGTTTTTCTCTCCTCTACTCTCTTTATCATGTGGGCTCTGCACCTCAGCTGTGTTGCATTCCAGTAATTAGCAACTGGTTTGTCGATGCACACAGCTGGGGTGCATCCCGATGATTACTTTTCCTCCATATTTAAACCTCTGGCAGACGCTCTGTCTTTGCTGGAGCATTACCTAACTTGCTTTACTGTATGTACCTGAATCACATCATTTTGATTTCCCGGCTGACAGTACCTGTGCTGTGGATCTCATTTTGAATGTTGGTTGAGTGTTTTCTATTTTTTGTGTGAGACGTCCATGCTGACAGTCCCTGTGCTGTGGATATCTGTTTTTGTTCGCCTGTCCTTCCTGGTCCTCTACTCCTGTTTCCTGCTGTTAGTTTGTGTGTATACCTGTTCGTCCTGGTCTCCTTAGTTGTCCTTCCCTTATTGTAAGTATTACGGACCCTGTTATGTTGTTACTTTGTTGTTGTTGGTTTTTACAATAAAACCCCTTTTTGTACTAGCACCTGGGTCAGCAATCTTGAGTCCAACCCCAGTTCTCCCTCACCCTCCTGGTGAGGGGGACTAACCATAACAGTGAGACTGTAAAGAATTCTTCAAAATAGCTTCTAATGTCATGTAATGTAATGCCAATGCTGACATGCTGATGTTTAGATGACCATCCAAACTGGAGCAGTTGAAACGGTATATTAAAAACAAAATTTCAATGTTAGGATTACAGTGAAAGTTATTGGGATTCATCTCCTGGAAACCATGAATCGAAACCATGAATCTAAACCAAAACCAGTGTCAAAGACGTTCAGGCTTAGAGCTGCAGGTTGTGCTGTTTGAAAAGTCAGAGGATCAGTAAAGTCATTAGGGCTCATCCTCTGGGGACTATGAGTCTTCTAGGCAATCTACTTTACAGTTGGTGAGACATTTAAAAAAAAAAAAAGCAGGATGATGCTTGCAGGTATGTTTGAAAATGTTAGTTGCGTCACTTTCCCATACAATCAGGGGTTACATTGGCCTCAGCTTCGTTGTGCTCTGGCTCAGTGTAACCCCTGATTGTAATGCTATTTGAAAGTCACAAGGCAGAGCTCAGCTCCATCTTCTTCAGTATCACAGCACTGCTAACTTTAGCATAGACTTAAAATATCTGCTGCCATGCACGCTGACCAAACAAATATAAAAACGCAATGTGATCTTACAGTGGTCTCATTAACCTAAACTCTTTGTTGCACAACAGACAGGCGGCTGTGGATCAGGAGATAGAACAGGTCGTTCTTAACCGTAGGTTTGATGGTTCAATTCTACGGCTTAGTGTCCATGAGCAAGACACTGAACCCCAAGTTTTTTCGTGTAAAATACATCATAAATATGCACATATGCAATATCTTGTTGTTGTTGATTTCTCTTAAATACTATATTTTGCCTTGTTTTTACGTATTTTTGATTTGTTTTTCAGAGATCCTTTGTTGTTCTTGGTTTTTGTTGTTCTTATGGTGTTTGTTTGCTCTTTATTGCTGCTGAAACACAGGAATTTCCCCATTGTGGGATTAATAAAGTCTCATCTCAAGTTGCTCGAAAAGATATTGTTAGTGAGTTTGTAAATGAATGCGTAATAGCATAAAGCATTTTCAGTGCATACAGTATCAAAGCATTACTGTATATATGCCCATTTACATTTTTATTTCCAGCAAAATTTCAAATTAATTTTTTTTTCTGGTGTGCCAAGTTCAACACCAAGAAAGAAAAAATACACATGTAGGATATTTGTATAATTGGGTTTAGGGCTATTTGATAAAAGGTTCAAATTGCCATGTTGAAATGAGCAAGCAAAAATAGGTATAGCATGATGCTGGAAAGACAGAGCCATCAGCAGAGACATTTTGGCAAGTAGACACATGTAAACATGGAAGGAGACTGATGAGGTAATGCAGGGCAGGTGCCTGGAGGAGTGACAGGTAGAAAAAAGGGAAGGCAGGGCAAAACCTAAAAGTATAGGGAGGATAACACAACATGAGTAAACAGGAAGTGCAAAAACAAAATAAATGCATGAAACATGAGTTAGACTATACCACTGAAAGGCAAGCTGTGTAACATGTATGTGGCCCTGCTGTTATCAGCATCAGAAGCTGTCATATGATGACCTAACTGATGATTTTGCAGCAAGGAAATGTGCTACCACCTTTGTGTTTAGGGCACAAAGGTGATGTCCAGCAGTGGCCATGATTGCCATCCATGGAGCTGTGCTGCTAGCAAAGTGTTACATAATTCAAATAAGTCATGCAGAATGATTGAGGCAAATTTAAAGTAATAGTATGAAAGTCTAAAAGACACCACTAGAACAAAATGGACATGATATTTTTGAACCAGCTTGATTTATTGCAGTATTTTATGAATGCTATCATTAGCATAACTATTAAACAACAGCAATTTGAAAGGAATAATTTAATAGAAAGCACTGAAATAAAACATTACTGAACAATTTAAGTTTTAGAATGAGAGTCAGTTTTGTTTATGTCAGGGTGGATTATATACATTTTTATAGTCACCAAATGTCCCAGACTTAAATAATGTTTCTTATGTTAAACCAAGCTCCAAAACAAAAAGCACATAATATCCTTCTATTGCAGTAAAGCTCACTTACTGTAGCTGCAGTTGTAGAGGAACCAAAAACAAGTTGGAAAACAGTATCAACTGACATCGTAGCAAATGGTTTTTGGGTTTCAGCTTGTTAGATTGACAGGGCTTATGGATGCCTGCCTCTTGGTGGTACAACAAGTTACAGTAAGTGCTGAATATTTTCTGCAGATGTTGGCATCCCTTAAAGCTGTTACTGTCTCCAGACATGTTAGAACTGAGCTCGCTAGTCTTCATTGGCAGTGGTAAAGTCTGTGTCTGTGAAGATTATCTGCTTTCCTCTCTCCCTGGCTGGTTGAGGATCCTGGAGGAAAAACACAGACACAGACACTGAGAGGGATTTCTGCTATCAGCAGTCTAAGAGCTGATGCCCCCTGAGAGGCAGCAGGGTGACAAGGAGAGGGCCAGGTCATGAAATTCATACTGGCCTACTGAGAAGAAGGGAAAAGATCTGGCTGATCATCTGCTTTCTCTCTGCACTTATCTCTCTTCACCTTTTTCCATTTTGTCTTTTCTCTCTGTTTGTTACATTTTCTGTTTATTTTTGTCTCAGATAGTTGACTTTTAGTCATACAAACACTTCTCAGAGCCAGACTTCAAATTAAAAATTAGTGAATGAAGCCAAGGAGCTGTGATTTGCACTGTAACTTGGTAGCTGGATGAAACACTCCAAAGTTGGCTGTTTGTAGCTCCCCAGCTTTTACTGTGCAGTGCACTGTGGGACAAGTAGCATTGATCAGAAGGAGGGACTCAGTTGGATTGGCTGCTGCTCCCTTTTTTGCAGCGGTTACTTTCCCAGTGTAAATGCAAACTTTGAACCTGCTCAAATTAATAACATTCCTTTTTCCACAGCCGCACTGCCTCAGAGAAACATGTTTACTGCTAAAACGTAAACCAGCTTCTGCTTCTTTAGTTCCATCTCTGTCTCTCTTTTTATCCCCGACACAGCACACCCACATGGTTTGGCATGGCTGAACAGCCGCAGTATTTGGATATTGTGGTTTCTGTGTCCTGCTGAGAAAGTCACAGCACAGACTGCTCCTCAATACTCACACGCACATACACATTTACTAAAACACACACACTTCTGTAAAGTATAAATATAGAGCCTGACTCAGCCCCTCCTGCCCACTCACTGAGGCATCAACAGAGGCTTGACCCAGAGGCTGAGTAGCCCACAGTGCCTCCTGCTGGCAAGATCTATGAACTGCATCTTCGATTACTCATACTGGTTTTTAGCTTGTCCTTTATATTTGTTGTACATTGAACTAGATTTACATCATTCACAAAGACATGGTGATGCAACCTGAAAACTCATCTCTGTGTTTCTGTACTTTAGTTTGGTTCTGATTTGCATCTTTGTCTTTGCTCAGCCCCCAACAGAGCTGTTAAAAATACTTCCAAATAAGCCATTATCATAGAGGGTCTATATCCAGATAGTGATAAATTTACAAATTATCAGCTGTTAAAGGTACACTCCACAGGCCCTTAATAAACCTTACATTTGAAAAGAAACTTTTTTTTTTAAAATAGAGCCTTTTTAAAAAAAATTGTCATACTTTAATGTTTGATTGTGTTTGTGGTCTTTCACGGTTCAAAATCTTGCATAATACAGTTTCCTCACCTTGATATTTAAGGGCTTAATTGTTTATGACCATGATTTTTAGCTGAACATTACACCTCTTTCATGAATAGCCCGTATATCATATTAAACATAAAATATTTTACGATTCTGTGAAATTACGCTTTATGATGATTTCAGTATTTTATCACCTTTATGAAAAGTGAAAGTCAAGACAAGAGTCACTACCTTAGTACTTTTCTACATACTGGACCACCTACTCGTGTTAATCCTTGGTGACCCATCGTAGTTCACTCTTGACGTTTTGCAGCTCTGATAGGTTAACAATAGGACCGGGCAGTTTCACTGTGCCCGGCAATGTCTTCTTCTCCTCCGTCGTCTGGGCTGCAGCACTGGGCTCATCTGGTGTATGAGTCTGAGAAAAAATTATTCAAAAAGAAGTAGAACTTGGATAAAATTATTTATGAAAAATAACTTCATGTTCCTCCATATGTCCGTCTGGTTCATTCTCATGAGGGAATTTTGTCAAATTTGACACAAACGTACAAGGATGAACTGAGTAGATTTTGGTGGTCAGAGTTCAGAGGTCACTGTGACCTCACATTTGTCCCATTCCCATGAGCCTGACAAGTTGGCAGAGGCATACAAGTGCAACACAATAATTCCAGTTTTAGAATTTGAATTGTTTACAAGTTTCTAAGTTATTTCATGATATAAAAATGGTGTCTTTCAGATGATTGACAGCTTTGATTGGTAGCTGGATACTTATGGAACTTGTGATGAAAATAAAGAATAGTAGTACATATTTGAAAGGTGTATTTTATGGGACAATGTAAGCCCAAAGTATTACAGTTTGATATTATTTTATGTATTTGTGGTTAAAGGGAAAACAAACGTGCAAACAAAAACTACCATTTTCTGTGTGTATTTCCTGTGTTGTCTTACTTCTGTGTCGACTGTCTCCTCTTTCCTCTTCACAGGATGTCCCGCCCCTGGACGCAGAGCTCCCATCGGGATGTTCAAATTAGCCTGGTGGACAGTGAGAGAAGCAAATGAGATCCTTCCAACACTTAAACAGATAAAGTTTCCTGTCTCTCTGTTTCTGAATGTGTGTGTGTTTGTGTTTACTCCTGCTTTCCTCAAAACCTCTTATTTTGGTTATGACCACTTTTTCCTGGTTATTTATTATGTCCCACGGAGAGACTTGTGTCTTTATGAAAATTGGGACCCAAACACTGGCTCACACACACAAAGCTCAGCCTGCTAACTTTTGTTTTATTTCTGCCTGCCCTGACGTCCTATCACTTGGATGTGGTGTGTTTTGTACTGTACTGTAATGTATTGTATATATACTGTATGCGCACATTGTATAGTTGTACAGAGAGGCAGTATGCAGTGCCCCTGAAGATACTGGATGTTGTTCTATGGGAGAGTTTTATTTTTTCCAGAGATTAAGGTGCACTATAAAAGCTGGAAGAAAAGCTCTGGGAGAAATTTCCTCATTCACAGCATGTTTGCTAATATTTGTAGCACTGTATTGTTGCTTTGGCTGGGATTAATTACTTGTCTTTGTGCTTAACATGCTGTTAGTATGGAAAGATTACTGAACCCGGCCAGCCAGGCAATGTGGGGTTTGGGGTCCCTGGGCCAGAGCTTCTGTTTGAAGCCATTATTAACATTATATTTTGTTGATCAAATAACTACAGAGAGGCACACAATGCCCTCAAAGAGACATAAAATGACCACATAGAGACAGAAACTGCCACAAAAAATGCAAAATGGCTAGCAAAAAACAAAACAAATAGAAAGGCATACAAAACAAACAGAAAGAGATACAAAACCAAACAAAATGCCAAACAGCCACAGGGACGCAAGAGACACAACATGTCCAGAAGTCTTTGTTTGCTTCAGTCACTTTACCTGCCTGATCGTTTGACAGCTTGTGTTTCTTGTCATGTTGCAACTACCTTTAGCAGTGTTTTCACATTCTGAGAGCAAACCAAGTTGAAAGCCAGAGGTTTGAAATAAGGCTCTAGTTGTAATAAACTTTAGTCATCAATTACTTTATGTTTATTTCCTCAAGCACTTAATATAGCTAAGATACTTGTGTAATTCATTAGGGCAGGCATCAAATGTACACACTTTTAGTCAGTGTAGCACTAGTGTGATTATTTTTTTATTACAGTTTATTTATTGTGTTGGAAAGTTTAAATATCATAAATAAAATGAAACGAAATGAAATAAAAGTTAATGCAGACTTGGTTTGCATGGATTACACAGTTTAGTTTGCAAGAGCCTGACTAACAGATACCAGGGATGGAACAGTAGAAAATACAGCACATGTTCATTATTTATAAAACACGGCTATTTTCTAAAGTATGTGTAATTTATGGTGCTCCAAACAACCTACACTCCAAATATCCTTCTCCCTAATAATGAACAAAGCCCAGTAGACTTTGCTTTGGGGTATACGTACATGCAGCCAGAGCAGCATCACTGAGGAACAGGTGTTAGGTAAGTAAAAAGTAGATCCAGACTGGAAACATTTGGACACAAAATGCTTCTATTGTGCTGCACATGCTGTTTGAATCTGTTTAATGGCTTGTTTTTCTTAAGCGGTAAAAAGATCACATGACTTTAAATGGGGCTGAGATGGAGCTACAACGTTTAATCAATACTGTGAATGTTATTGGATGTGAACTAATTGTTTAAGCTCGCTTCCTGGCTTAACTGGTTGGAAGTATTATGTGAACGTGAGGTGAGCATTTAGATTAGAAGGAAAACCTTGGAAATATGGTGGCAACGGGGTGTTTGGGAACAAATGACTTTAAGTGACACTTTCAAGCAAAGACTATAGTGACATGAGAAGACGTAAACCTAGTGGCAAGAAAATCTGGTTCCTGCTACAGGTGACAGATTTTCAGCTCAAATAACAGACTTCTTCTTGTCTCATGGGTGAGTTGTGAAATACCAACCACTGGCCAAATAACATTTAACAAACAACAAAACATGTTACTGATGGATAAGATTATGGCAGCAATGCTGCACTGTTCGATGGCTGTTTTCATTATAGTTGTTTGGTATCAGAGCCATCAGCTTCTGTGGCCAGCAAAAGAAAGAAAGAAGTATCGGCTTTTCTGTACCAGCCATTTATTAAGGGACCATGTCTGTGCTAGGTTTAGCATTATAATGACAAATTAGGCAGCATTTACTTTATTTTCTACTATTTACAACTGCTTTACATAAGTTTTTAAATTGATTTCCTACCCCACTATTTGCAAATTGCAAAGACATTTTTGGCTGGTTTTTGCTCACAGTGAAACTGTTATGTAAACTCTTTATTGAAGAAGGCTCCTAGAGATCACCAGATCTTATTTCAGTCATGCGCTATGTTAGTTTTTTGTGGATTTAAAATGTTTATGTTCACTATCCAACTCAGAAACTTTACAGTTTTAGCACAGTCCTTGTTGCAGCTGCATTACCATGCAACAGCAATAACCGATTTTCAAACTGTAGTGATTAAGTGGAAATTGTGTGTCTGGAAAATTTTATCTAACAATGATGTGGTGGGTGTGCTTCAATTAGTTTAACTATAAAATAGATAACATATGTGTTATTAATGACATACAACATACAAAATTACTGGCATGGAAGTTTATAGTTTTTTTTAATCATGTAAATCTGTACTGCTGTTCATATTTGTAATTAACTGAAAGTGATGATGGAGTATTGACCTAAGAACCTCATGTTTGTACTGTGCTGGTATTAAACCCCTTTTGTCCTGATGCCTATCCCATGGTTAGACATGAAAATAAGCACAACGAGAAGAGAGATGATGGAAGAAACCCTCTCTGACATGGAGCCATTACAACAGAAACACTGACAGCGCTGCTTCCCCTCGCCTTGCTACAACTCTGCACTATAAAGCCTTGATACTGTACGCACAGTCTGAACTCTGTATTTGCCTTTGCCAATAAATACTTTAATGTAGAAAACATGTCTGTCATTTGTTATTATATCATTCATTTGGAGCTTTTAATCCATTTTATCTTTGTGGTACCTTGCTTATTCATAATTGTAATCAAACTGGGCAGGGTACTGTCTTGTTGTACACAAAGTAAGACCACAAACTAATACAGAGTGTTTTTAAAGTTGTGAAACTGACCTGAATTCTCCCTGCAAGTAAATAAAGTTAGTTTCATGCAAAGCAGATGCACACACACGCATTTCTACACCTGATACTGTACACAGAGATGAAAATCTTTACCTGAAGGGCCTTAACGTGGGATGAAGGTTTGGACATAGTGCCCTGGTAAGTCCACTCACCTGGAGGGAACACACATCACAGACAATCAGCTGTGCATTTCTGTGTGTTTGACAGTGTGTGTGCATGCTGGGGGCACTGGGACTGTGGTTTACAGGGGCAGGGATAGCGTTTCGGTTGCTTAGTGACTCTTACAGAGAGAAGCAGGTAGAGGAACTGTTCTCTGAATCATTCATGAGGGGGAGACAATGAGACAGCAGGGAATTTCATAATAAATGTCCTGCAGTGCTTCAGTTTTAGCAGGAACATCAGTAAAAACCTTTGCACTGAGTTTAAAGATGTATTGAAGTGTGACTCCAAATGCTTCCTTTACTGAGAGTCATCTTCATCAACTGTGAGAGACTCCAAACAGACATACAGTGTCAGTCATACAGTTTAAATCTGATCAAACTCTGCCATCCTGGAATAATGTATAGTACCATAGGCTACAGCGAGGTGGCCAGGCAAGATAGATGACTCAGTGTTGCCCCACTTTGTGTTTCTCATATATTTGTACTGTACTTGCTACATTGAAGTCACAGAGCTAACATCAGTGCCTCTAAAAGATAATTAACTGGTGACATTTTGTGTTTTTCCAAAGGAATTCTAGAATCCTCCCAGACTCTTTAAGTAACCCGTATGCCCGGCCCCGTCTGCTGCTCCACCTGGTGGCAGAGCTTAGATCTTGTTTCCAGGGTGCTGTTTGTGCAACAGTACAGTAAGAGCTTTGCTATCCTTGACATGAGAGCAAAGGCACACACACTCCCAGAATACACAAGTAGACACACACACAGACACACAGTCGTACTTACACAATGTGATGATATTTATGTTGGCTGAGTAGCAGCTGCCCTGGCTGACACCGCTCTCCAAACCCTGACAAACCTTTTCAATTTCACTATATTCTACACACTCATCAACTCTCTTGCACAAACAGACATGCTCTTATCCATGTGTACAATTATTTTTACATTATACTTTACATTTTTCAAATCTTGAAACATCTTCACACATTAAAATCGAGCTCTTCAAACACTCTAATGCATAAACACCTAACATAAAGGTATTTAGTTGTCAGTGTGTGTCCAGAAATGTGTAACTGTGTGTGCATTCATTAGTGTGTGATATTGTTACTGTACTTCAAGATCAAAATGTTTAGAGAGCATTTATAGAGCTGCAGAGCCAATTACAGTAGTTGAAAATAGATTTCATTTTAAATAGATACATTGCCATTTATGCCCATCAACCCAAAGTAAAAACCTGTTTTTAGAAATCTTTGAAATTTTATTAAAAATAAAAAACTGAAATCTCTCATTTAGAAAAGTATACAAAGGCTTAATTCAGAAGCCCATCTAGCAGCAGTTTTTTTTTGTAAATGAAAGATACAGTTTTTATACATTTGTGCTGTCTTTGACCTGTTTTTAAGGGAACAATTTGTTGTTTTGCAAAATAAACGTATTTTCTCTCTCATTGAGAATTAAATGACAATATTAATAAATGAAGCTACAGCCAGTAGGTGATGAGGTTAGCCTAGCATAAAGTCTGGAAACAGGGCATAACAGTTTAAAAAGTTAAAAAGTTTTGGTTTTTATAAAGTATATATACAATGTGAAGGTATATCAAGGTGATTGGAAAGTTGCGATTTGCACCATTTTGAGAGATTTCCTGCACACATTTTTTATTTTTTTATTTTTTTGTTAGGCTACAATGGCGATGAATCCATTTCTGTTCTGCATGTGCTCAAACTGAATACTACAGAGGATGTTTGGATGTAGCTGAAGCATTAGCTGTATGGGATAGTATTTATTTATTTAACTTATAGATATATGCAGTCTATATCTCTATAATGAGCGTGATCTTCCAAAATGGCACATTTACCCAAACATGGTGTGATGACAACTTTACATTCTTTATGTACGCCAATCTTTGTTTGCAAAGCATAGCCAGTTTTTATGCTAGCCTAAACTAACCACCTCCTGGCTCTAGCTTCATGTTCAGCATACAGACATCAGAGCAGTATCAATCTTCTCATGTAATGCTTGACAAGGGAGTGAATAGGTGTCCTAAAAATGTTAAACTATTCCTTTAAATATTTACACCTCAGTGGGAAGCTAAGGCTGAAAGACAGGGAAGGAAAGTGCTGTCCATTTGGATCTTTGGTTGACCATTAAAATAAAATGTAGAATCTTGCCTTTTAAGAATAAAAATAACATTTTGCACAAATAGGACTTGATAATGATTTGTTTTTGTTAAAACAGTCGCAAATAATAAGTTCAACCTGATTTCTTCATTGTTAAACACCAAGAAGACCTGCAGGTTATCAAAACATCCAAATATATATATAAACCCAACTGCCAGTCAAAAACACAACACACACAAAGACATACACGCAAACAAAACAGATGGCCTATAACTTACCCACTGATGACACAAAATGCTTGATTTTATAGCCTACACATTGAGACTGATCTCATTACACTTTCTTCCTAACTCTTTCGTGTCTACTCTCCATCTCTGTGACTTTCTTCTCCTCTCCACCCTCTCTCGCTGCCTCGTAAGTGTAGAAGGATTCCTCTCATATCTGGGATTTGTTCTCACTATAAATAGACGAGTGATACACAGAAGGGACCTGCTTTCTATCCAAACACACTCTTAGGCAGTAATGGACACACAGAGAGACAGACCAAACCAAAGTCAAATGGCAGCACAGGAGACTCCTTAATTTAAATATATTTTCTTAAGATTTTCAATATTATAATGAAATGAGCCTGTGAGAAAAATAATTTAACTGCAGGACCAAACTTCATCAAAACAAATGGAACATTTAAGTATGAAACACATAAGTATGATCTCTGATTTGTATCTTTGTAAGGTTTTTAGACTACAATTACAGTAAAATATTCAGTGACTGAAAGAATTTAAGTGCCAGACCAAATTTCATTCAGAAAATTGAATATTTAAGCATGACACATTCAAAAACAAACATGTCTGCTTACATGATATTTATAAATGTTCGTGGTCACTTTTTATTTAAATCCTGACATTTACTCAAAAGAATACTCAGTACTAAAACACTCCTAGTCATAGTGACTAAAATGGCACTGCCCTATTTCTGTTCTGACACTCACTCAGCACATACACAGAAGTAGATAAGTTGGTGTATGTTGGATGGCATTTATACACTGATGTACAAGCACCGGCTCAGAGGGGATATGTGTAACTCACAGAGTTAAAGATTAGCACATGTGTGCGTATGTGTGTGAGTGCTCTCACCTCCTGATGTGCGTGGCTGCTCTGTCCTGCTTGCACTTTCTCTGAAGTCCTCTGCAGCTACCTGACCTGTTTCTGTTTCGCCTGATTGGCTTGCAGAGACTGAAACTCCTCCCTGAGTGCAACCTGACCTAGCATCAGACAAGTAGAATGAGTTTTCAGCCTCTGTGTGTGTGTTTCTGACCGTGTTTGTTTCTGTATATTTGAAATGTTTTGGCATGTGTATGTATGTGTGTTTACACATTCCACTTACCTTTCTATTTTACTTCACTTTTCCAGATGAAGTGATCTTGGTGACCTCGGTGATCTTCCTCAGCCTCACCTAGGAAAATTAAACCTCTCTGTTCTCAGGTAGTAAAATGAATAGACTCAAACTGAAGGCTTGTTAAATATTTGAGACTATGCAAATACATCCCACACACTCGCATTCGGTGGCCATGCCTACAGCTGGAACTCATTCCAGATAAACACATTCAGTGATGAATGTGTTTATTGTATTAACAACCTGCCATACACCAGCTGAACATTATGGTAGATTAATTTTCTGCAAAAAATTTGAGCCAAACTTTAGCAAAAAGAACATATGAAGGTAGAAACTGCTGAACTGCAGTAGTCTGAAACAGGTAACAGGTAGGTGTATGTCTGTTTCATCATGAGATGAAATTTTTGGAGAAGTAGGGTATGAGCCAAGGAAGTAGAAGTACTCAGATTGTTTACATAAGCTAATGATAACTATCTTATAGGCTTAGACTTTAAAGTAGGCCTCCTTTACATACTGCTGGGAATTGCGTGAATTTTACACCGAGGATCAATATAGTCTTATGAATATATTGTATTTCGTTTTGTGAATGCCATTCTGAAAAGTAACAAGTAACCTACGTTCTCAAATAGGCTAAGTGTAGTGAGTACAAAGTATTTTTCTCTGAAATGTAGTAAAATCCAAGTGTGCAGTACATTTATTTAGCCGTTCATGGTATTTAGCAATCTCTCATGTCCATCGTTTTTGTTGAATCAATTTCAAACTAATGATATCAATGTGTTTCCAAATGCCAGGGATAGGTTTTCATGTGTCATGAGATTCAGACTATCATGGGAATGTTGCTTTTAGGTGTAATGGCATTAAGCTTTCCAAGGGCATGGGTTTGGTCCCAACATTGGTAGGGACAAAACATCAACACCCACCTCCCTCTCAATAGCTAAAGCCCATTGGAATGATCTAATGTGACTTCACTCTAAAGATAATGGGCACGGATTTCGTCAAATATTGTCAGAGACATTTCTGTCCTCCCAAAATATTGGTAGGCACGTCCCTACCGTCCATATGCAAAACTATGCATTTTGGAGCTGACTTGGCTGAGTGTTGTGTAGTTTTTGTGTGTGTGAATTTCCATTCCACTTGGCGTCATCAATGCACCATTATGCTGTTTGTCAACGTCCGCACAGCATTAAGAATAAGAAGTCGAACAAGAAGAAGCAGAAGAACAAGTTGTGAAAACGGCAACACCCGAAAATGTTGAAGAAGAAGAAGGAGAAGGAGAAGAAGAAGAAGAAGAAGAACAAGAAGAAGAAGAAGAAGAAGAAGAAGAAGAAGAAGAAGAATAAGAACAAGAACAAGAAGAAGAAGAACCACACAGCACAGCTCTGCACAGCACAGCTGGCGACGGTTAGACATAGAGGAAAGCCGGGATCTAGGAGAAATGCCGAGGTCGGCTAGCGGAAATGAGTACAGGTATGGGCGGATATCACCTTATAGGAACGTCTGATATAACCTTACCAAAGACGTATCTACTGTATGTTTATTAAATATCTAATTATACCTTGGAATAATTTATAATATTTTATGCCACTAGTCCACAACATAGAAAAGTGAGAAAAAGAAGAAACGTTTCCAAGATGAAAACTTATCCATCTGGGGAAAACACACTGGAGAGGTAAGTTAGTTAAAGTTAGCCTCAGTAGTTTATCTCCACTAAGGATAACTGCTTAATTCATTTTAAATGTTGGATCATGTGTTTACTTAAGGACAGGATATGCTCTTAACTACTGTGTTGCATAAACCCCAGATTATCCCTTTCATTATGATAAAGTTACCAAAGAAAAACAATCTAATGTAAATATTTTTTAACTTGAATTGACTGAAATCTGTTCATGCCTACCGACTAGTTAAATTCAAGTGCTGGCTTATTGTTTAACTCGCTTATTAGTCAAATCACTGAAAACGAATAGTCAATAGTTTATTTGTTTAAGTATCTATACCTGTATTTCAAATGTGACTATGTACTAATATTCTTGCTTTTTTAAGGTGATAAGAACATTTTTAGGTTTTGGACCATTGCTCAGACTAAAGAAAACAGGAATATGTTGGGATTTAGTAAATTATTAAGGAGATTTTTTTTTTTTCCATTTCATGGCATTTTATAAACAACTGAGTAATGAATAAGATAGTGGGGTCACTTTTTTCATTTTCTTCAGGCTGCCACCTGAGATTCTGATTAAGATTCTGTCTTACCTGGATGCTTCATCCCTGTTTTGCATCAGCCATGTTAACAAACTCTTCCACAAGCTTGGCAACAATGAGTAAGTCTGACAGTCAACATAGTTCCCATTTAGAAGGGAAGTATTTGAGTAAAAAGTCACAACAGTCTTGTTTTATTGTATATTATGAGCACTTTTTGTCCCATAAAATGTATTTGTATAGATGAAGACCATCTTGAATAGTGAGTCATCTTTGCAGGTTATGCAGCTGCTTCACAGTAAAAGCCCTCCAGATAACGTTTTCTTTCATGTTGCTTTCATCAGATTTATATTTGATGAAGGGGTTTTACCTTTCATTTTTTCTACTTAAACATCTGGAAGAGCCTTACTGTAAAGCATCTGCAGGCTGATGATGTATATGAATGTGTTTTAGGTTGCCAAGAATACTAAATCTATGCTGCTAAACTAGTTGATCTTGTATACTTCATCAGAACAAGTTAGTATTACTAATTGGACATACAGATGATTGTAATTCATGTACATATAAACAATAGGACAATAGGACTTTACAGTAAGTTTTTCTCTGCAGCCAGTGTCTCATTGTGGCTTTTTTTCACTGCAGTGACATGTGGCGAAGGATTTACATGTCAGATTTTGGGAGATATATTTGGAAGCCAAAGTCAGATGATGCTGTGTTTAAGGAGGACCCAGTGGAGGTGGAGACTCAATCCATGGACCACTGGAAGAAGTGCTACTTCAGGACTGTTGCCGGACAAGATATCAGCAAATGGTTAAGAAAGCTGAAAGACACCAAACCCCGCACCGGGCTACCCATACTGACTGAGTGTGCCCTCAGGTACAAGACAAAATGTACAATATATACAAGATGCAGTCCAGTCCATTTCCTCCTTTTAAGTGTTATTTACAAGTTGAAAGAGATAAAATAATTTCTAAAATTATTATGAAAAAATTACACAGTTAGTGATGATAAACTGATGAGTAATTTATGACGATCGTGTCTGTTTTGCATTTGGAAAGTGCCCCTCTGCATAACCATTGTTATTGCCCATTGGATCTCTGTGTTTTTGTAACAGATGGTTTACAAAATAAAAAAATATACTAACATACACTTTTTAGTAAAGTGTCTCCAGAACAGCTTCAGTGATTCTCTGTTGGAGGAAACATACTTTTTCCAAAACGTATTCACTCATTGTTTTCAACACTTTTTCATCCTCATCGAGCCATTTAGAAACCTAGTCAGTTCAGTGTTTCCCCAAACATTGGCTTATTTGAAGTGGGCTGCCACAATATCAACATTGACTGCCACATAGGACTTAAAATACTTGGTTTAAATCGTGTTTCAGTGTAGTGCCGTGCATAGCACATGTATTCGCTCAGTGCCCTTCTCTATCGCTCTCACACACACACACACACACATACAAACACATGACGACGAACCATCTGTGAACAGCTCCTCCAGTTCGTGTTTATTTTTTTAACATAATGCTGTCAGTCACAGAGATCCAACTCTTCTAATATGTTATTAGCAAGCTCATGAGGCTGGCTAATACAGCTGCTGCCAAGGTCAGCATGCTGTATACAGCATGGATGCATATGGACTGCTCTGTAACTTAATTCTGTTTCATATATTTTGACATTGAATGTTTGCCCCCTCAGTCCAGGGGAATGTTGGTAACTCACATGGAAAAGCTGATCAGTCCAAACAGTGTGATCAGCGATCCAATTGATTCATTTCAAATATTTACTGGCACTGCTGAAGCGGCATTTGACTGGTTGGTAAAGGCTTACAACTGTAATTCTGTTTGTAACTGCATTACACTCAGGATAAAATTGTTAATGTTTAAAAAAGGTGAACTTGGAAAAACCCAAATAATAGTTATATATCTTAATATCAGCTTTGCAAATTGTTTTTATTCCAGGAACATGAATGTCAAGTGGGAGCTAACGGTGGCTAACCGGTGGGGCCACAAGATCACGCAAGAGCAGAGCCAAGCATACTTCTTAGACTCCTCAGTGGTTGTCCATTGGAGCTCACCCAACTTCCCTGCATACTGTGACATCAGCAACATCCAGCTACATGGAGTCAGGAAGGATACACAAGCCACAAAGTGAGATACATTTCCTCAATTTTTCCATGCCTCCATTGGTACCATCTTCTCATCCACCAAACATCTACCACACCACATGCATTAATGTTGCAGCAAATGTTAAGTATAGGGATGGGATGATGTGACTTTTTCTTGATATATTCACTGCACAATACAATTAAAATGCAATGACAGTAATGTACTATAGCTGTGGAATACTTGTACTTTTTTCCTCTTACTTACTTTCTGTTAGGCTATTTTATTTACAAAAAATATGAAGTCGCTGGTGTTTGGAAAAAACGTAATATGTATAGCTAGACAAAACGATGCATATTGTGACATTCTTGTATCATAATATATTGAATTTCAATATATTCCATCCTTAGTTAACTACCTTATGCTTATAATTCAAAAGACTTCACATACTGCTGGGTAGCGTGTGAATTTTCCACCAGGGGGTCAATAAAGCTTTTTGATTGTCCTTTATTTTTGTGTGGTTAACGTGATTCTGAAATGTGAATACTGTACTGTGCTTTCTAGCACTTATCACCACTCCTTCCTCTTCTTCATCAGGCCTGGCTGGTGCTCTCTAATTTTAAAGCTGGACATGAGCATTATGCGTGGTTGGTTGATCAGCCAAGACAAATTGATCTGTTTGAGGCATCTGTCATCAGGAGTCCTCATTGGTGTCTGGAGGGTAAATATTGGACAGAAATTACATATGATGCTTGAACACATCGTCTACAGTATTTTAGAGACATTTTTAATAAGTCCTATTTTATACTCACTGAAGTATACAAGAAACCCACACACAACAGACCTGTATTTACTCTTTGATTTTCCACACCCCCTGGAGCACAAACTGGGACTTCTCAGAGCCCTACCTCACCAGGCTGAAAACATGCCTAAAAGGGGAGGGGTGATTGGAGAAGGGGCACAGTCACAAGTCAGTCTTTTAAGATTCATGCAGTCTGCGGGCCATTTTGGAAAAGCTTCTTTTTTTTTTTGCAACAATAAACACTGTTTTAATCTGGAAAAATATACATTTACAAATGTAACCGATTTAATGTGGACATGCTCTAAAGCAGCTACATAGACTTGTTTTATGCCTGTGCTTTTCCTACCATGACATGTCAAATTGCGTGTTCACGTGTACAGTACATTCCAAGGTGTATGTCTGAAAGGGCCTTGTGTTTGTTACTTTTCTGTTTTTGTTTTTTAACAAAACATATAATTCTCTTTAATATTTTTTATAGTGTCAGTATAAACAACAAAAATGACTGTGTTGGTTTGTGTGTATAGGGTAATAAGAGGGTGGCCTTCATCATGGCCTGCCTGCACTTCCACAAGCTGGTGCAAAAGAGCCTGCTGGGAACTCCATGCATGTAAGTTCCCTTCTCATGAAGTCTGTCAGACTGACAAAAGTCCAGTGTATGTGTTTGACGATAGGAACAAAACGTCAAATTATCAAAATCTGAACTGAATTATGCAGCATGTTTTGTGAAGCTCTATGTGTCGATTGGTTTGGGCAGTTATCTGAGTGATGGTTCTTGGTGTTTTTTCAACAGCACAGGTCAGCCTGCTTTAATCGAGCCAAGTCAGGTGGGCATGTTGCAAGCTGGCAACGCCACACCGACACCATTCGTTATGTATTGCTTCTCAGAGGCTGGCGTCGTCCCCACTTGATCCAGATACCAAAGATAAATCATGCATTTTACAGTGTAGTGGAAACACAACTTCTCTGATTCAGGAGCAGCTCAGCATGGCTCCACTGTGCACGCTTAGCAGGGCTTACCTGTGCTAGTGGAAAAACACCATCTGTCAAACCTGTAAACTCCCTCTGATGGTCACCGTGCATCCCTGTAGCTTTACCTGTCCAGCTGATAACCTGCATGAGGGTGGAACCTACTGAAAGTTTTACCAGGATAAAATTTTCAAATGCTAATTTAACTTATTGAAATGGTTGTCATAGAAATAATGATGTCCATCAAAGGATAAGGTCAGTTATTTTCTAAATCAGTGCTATTTTCAACAATCCCCATACAAAGACTAAAACCAGCAATGAATTGCCTCTACTCATGGTTAATGTCTGTAAGTCTCCAACCTGGATTAGTGCATTTGTCTGTGCCATAGACATCCACTGTTGAATCAAAATACATCAGTGAAACAGACCGCTGCACTGAGCAACATGTTTCTTCATTATGAAACGTATGACCCGAATATTTGTTAAAAATGTTGCCCAGCAGACTCCAAACAGCTTCTCTTTAGAATCATCTCAGAGTGCCTTATTTTTTTTCTCACTCTGTTCAGATTTTTCTTCTTTTTCTATCTCTTCTTGCAGCCCATACTCTGAGCCTGTGGACCGACTGCCTTTGAATGACTCGGACCCTGAGCCAGGGCTGCACAACTACAGTCTGAACTTTGTCCTGCACAGCAGCAACACTAAGTTCATGACAGGATACTACCACGAGCTCTCTTGCCACAATGGTAATCTGATCATTGTTTTTGGGGCTTTTTACATGTAATGATTTAAGAATATTTAAGAGGGAAACAAACATCAACAAAACACAGGAAGTAACTGGGTTATAAATATCTCGGTCCACTTGTTTTTAGGATCTAGACCCAGTGTTTGCAGTGAAAGTGATGTTTCTCCCATTTCTGAAACATATAAGTGGGTTTTCTGTCTACAAACAATGGATGTATGTGCGAGCATTGAGGTAGAAAGTATGTTCCCGCAACTTCGAAACTTATACGGACATTTTCATAATAAACCTGTGATATTACTGTTTACATGTGAGTTGCACACACATTGCACACCACTACTTTTTTTAAAACCACTTTTGATAGACATCTGTCAACTGTCAGCAAATACATTAGCTAACAACACAGTTAAACTTTTTGTCATTACAGGCTACAGTGTATTATAATGATCAGACATAGAAACAGGGAAAG